AAATTAGGACTAACAATGCCCAAGGCTGGATTGCACAATAGACAGACATGTTTAGGCACCAGTAAAGCAAGGACACCAGAAAATGGCTTTTGAAAAAGTTTGATGTTGGATAGAAAAAAAAACCAAAACACCAAAATAGTCATAATTGTCAGAGGTGTTTGAACCAGAGTGACTCCATCTTGAATAGGGGCTGGGTAAAATATGGGTAAGATCTTTTGGGCTGCATTCCCAGTAAGTTAGGCAATCCTAGCTGATAAAACAGGTTGTGGTAAAGCAGCCGGCCACATTCCACCAAAACCAAGATGGTGACAAAAGTGACCTCTGGTCATTATACACTCACTGCTCATTATACACTAATTATAATGCATTAGCATGCTAAAAGACACGCCCATCAGCACCACGACAGTTTACAAATGCCATGGCAACATCAGGAAGTTACCCTATATGGTTTAAAAGCAGGTGGAGCCCTCAGTTCCACGAATTGCTCACCTCTTTCTTGGAAAACTCATGAATAATCCACACTTTGTTTAGCATATAATCAACAAATAACCATAAAAATAGCCAACCAGCAGCCTTTGGGACTGCTCTGCCTATGGAGCAGTCATTCTTTTGCTTCTTTGTTTCTCTAATACACTTGCTTTCACTTTATGGATTTGCCTCGAATTCTTTCTTGCACAAAATCCAAGAATCTTCTCTTGGGGTCTGGCTCAGGATCCCTTTCCAGTAACATCTTGAGAAACTTACATTTTCTTATATTTATTTTATGTATTTTGTGTTTTTAGTTTATGAACAGGAGGTTGACCTTGTGGGGAAGAAAATTTTTTCCTCTACTCTTAGGTTTTGTAATTGGGAGCCTAAAATTAAACTGACAAAAAACAGATTCACAAGAGAAAAGATGAATTTTTAATCATGTACAGGCATTTACAAAGAAATGCAACTCAAAGGGGTGGATAAACTTTAGGGCTTTATACCACCTTAATAGGTGACGCGGAGTGGGAAAAGAATACTTACTAGGAAAATAAATGACTTCTTAGACAAGGGGAGGAGAAAGAGCATTTATGGAAAAACAAATGACTTTGAGGAAAGATAAATGGGCCCTTAGGAGAACAGATGGGAGATATGACAGTTTTCTGATAATGTCTCTTTGGGTGTGCTGCCAAATTCTCTCTCAAGATTAGAGTTGTTCCCAGGGAGGGGATTTATGACAACTGAGTTCTTTAGAGTTCTTTTGGGAGCCTCTGCTTTTAGGAAGATAAGGGACCTCAGGACCTCAAATGCTTTCAGCTCACAATAATTTTTATGCTACAATGGCTTATTCTGGATCCCTTCAATTGTCTCAAATCAGGGCCTCCAAAGTTCTTAATAATGATGACTGCTCTTTGTCTGTGGCTGGGTGTTACAGGGATAGGCCACTTGAGAATTTGGGAAGGAGGGAACTAAGATTGCTCTAGCTGGGTACGGTGGCTCACGCCTGTAACCCCAGCACTTTGGGGGGCCGAGGTGGGCGGATCACGAGGTCAGGAGATCGAGATCATCCTGGGTAACATGGTGAAACCCCATCTCTATTAAAAATACCAAAAATTAGCCGGGCGTTGTGGCACGCACCTGTAGTCCCAGCTACTCAGGAGGCTGAGGCAGGAGAACCGCTTTGAACCCAGGAGGTGGAGCTTTCAGTGAACCAAGATTGTGCCATTGCACTACAGCCTGGGCAACAGAGCGAGACTCCGTCTCAAAAAAAAAAAAAAAATTAGCCGGGCGTGGTGGCACATGCCCAGCTACTCAGGAGGCTGAGGCAGGAGAATTGCTTGAACCCACAAGGCGGAGGTTGCAGTGAGCCGAGATCTCGCCACCGCACTTCAGCCTGAGTGACAGAGCAAGATTCCCTGTCAGAAAAGAAAAAAAAAAAAAGATTGCTGTAGATGTTGAAGTGTAAATCCTATGACTAATGGATTGAGCACAGATATGCAAAGTCATTGCAAGAGGCTCAGCTGGCCAGCAGGACTTGACTGCAACCTGATTTAAAGTATTAACATACCTAGGGCTGGGCTCAATGGCTTGGTGGCTCATGCCTGTAATCCCAACACTTTTGGAGGCCGACGTGGGCGGATCACTTGAGACCAGGAGTTCCAGATCAGCCTGGCCAACATGGCAAAACCCTGTCTCTACTAAAAATACAAAAATTTGCCGGACATGGTGGTGCACATCTGTAATCCCAGCTATTTGGGAAGGCTGCGGCACGAGAATCGTTTGAACCAGGGAGGCAGAGGTTGCAGTGAGCCAAGATCACACCACTGCACTCCAGCCTGGATGACAGAGCAATATCCAATCTCAAAAAAAATTTTTTTTTAAATAAAGTATTAACATATCTAAAGAAAGAATGTGTCATTTGGAAGGAGTGCCGAGTTTTCCCCTCCCAAACAATTACTGTGTTCCCCTATTGCTTGTCTATGAAGCAGACTTCCCACAGATGTTTGTAACTTTGTATTGGAATGAAATTGAGCAATATTGCCACTTATTGAACACTAGATGTCAGACATTGTGCTAAAGGTCTTTAGTACGTTATCTTATTTGAGTCTCACAATAGCCTGAAGTCAGTATTAGCAACCCATATAACAAATTTTAGAGGGACAGTGTGTTTCCCAAGGAATAACCCAGGCTGTCTGGTGGTAGAGCTAAGATCAACCCTTGGAACCCAAGTTCCTATCCTTTATCTTGCCATATGCCAGTCTCTGTTCCAGGTATTCTTCACACAGAACTTGAGTGGTTTGCCTGGGTTCCCTTGCTGAGACTTTTGCTCACTGTGACTATGAACCAGAGAAGTAGGAAATAAGCCCCCACTCACCTGCCTCCCCTTTGGGTGACCCACAAGAACATAAATCTTGCAGGGTCTTCAGCATCCAAGGTGCCTAAAAGCTAGGTGGTGTCAACCTTGTTACCCAAAAGACCACCACGATGGCTAAATAGTGGAAAGGAGAGTTTTATTGGTGATACTGGTTTGCAACCCAGAAAGAGAAAGTCTCCAGTGTGGACAGAAGGTCCTGTCTCTTTGAAGTGAAGAAGGAAACTTGGGTTTCATGCTTCACAGGGCCTGTATCACACAACAGAGTCATACATATTCATCAGGTTTCTGGGAAAAGGCTATACATAATTATGAGGGGAGCCCAGTGCATGCAGGATGGATAAACATACAGGTAACATATATTCCATGTTCACTTTGGGGCAGGGTTTTGGCATAAAAATCAGATGGAATTTGGCGCTTTATGCGAAAAGGTGAACTAAAGGACACAAAGAGAGTTTGTGTGCAGCTTCTGTAAGCTGGCTGAAAATGGCTTAAGGCTTAAGGTCTGCAGTAGCTTATTCAGGAAAGAATATTTGTAAGGCTGGCCTGCTGTCCAATCAGAGCTGTAGTGGTTTGGGTCGTAAATTCGTGTTAGGAGAGGGCTGATATCTCTTATTGTTAGGGGGTTTAGAGTCTCAGGAGTTTAGCAGTTTGCCATGCTAACTGGGTCCTGAACCCTCCACCAGTAGGTAGACCCGTAGGTAACTTTGTTTCCTTAACCTTAGAACCTGTCTTAGTTGATAAAAGGGTGTCTATTTTGGTCTTCCAGATCACAAACCCAAGCATTACTGTGGTGAAGCTAGAAAGCTCCTGTCTGAGCCGTTTCTGCAACCGACTGCCTGGGTGATATAGGGGAAGTAGCTAAACCTCCCTGAAGCTAATTTTCTCATTTTAAAATAAGAGCAGGCTGGGCACAGTGGCTCATGCTTATAGTCCCAGCACTTTGGGAGGCCAAGGCAGGAGGATCACTTGAGGCCAGGAGTTTAAGACCAGCCTGGGCAACACAGCAAGATCTTGTCTCCATAAAAAATTCTTCAAATTAAAAATTAAATTAAAATGAGAGCAGTAGACTAGATGGCTTCCCAGCACTACCATTCTGGGATTCTGTAGTTCAGTGAAAAAGATCAAAGTCTCCATAGAGGTAGGGGTTGCAAGGAGAGAGGCTGAATCCTCACTAAAGTGTTTCCAATTCCAGTGATGGAGCTATTTTTAGATTTGATCAGGTTCTCTCATGCATGTTGCATATTGTAGGATGGTTTTCTGGGTCAACCTTTCTCAAGTAAACTGTCACTTAATCTCTGGCCAGGACAGTTGCCCCGATAGAGTAACAGCTCTTCCCACAGTAGCACTGGCTATTTTGAGATTGCTTTGCCCCAGCTATATGACTGGACTTCAAAGAACTGTGATATAGGGGTCCACACATCCTTGGCTTGAAAGGGGCATCCCAGAGGGAGTAGTTCTAGTCTATCATATGTGGAGTTTCTCCTCTGTCTTCTAAACATATATTCATTCAGTAGTTCTTTTCTTGAGTGCCTACTTTGTGTCAGGAACTTAGAATAAAATGGTGAGCAAAACTAGGCAGGACCCTTACCATCAAGAAACTTTCAGTCTGTCGGGGTAGAAGACATTAATCAAATAATCATACACATTTTTATTGCTAGTATAAGAAGTGCTATAAAGGAAAAGTATAGGATGCCCGAAGAGTCTCTAACTGGGAGGTCAGAGAAGGCTTTCTTGGGGAGCTGCCGTTTGAACTAGTTTGAAGGATAAAGAGTAGTTATATAAATGCCAGAGGAAAGAAAAAGCATTCTTGGCAAGGGGAAGGGTATAGGCAGAGGTCTGGCAGGAGAAATCATAAAACTAAAAGGAACCGTGGTTGAGCGCGGTGGCTCACACCTGTAATCCCAGCACTTTGGGAGGCTGGAGCGGCTGGATGATGAGGTCAAGGGACTGAGACCATCCTAGCCAACATGGTGAAACCCCCATCTCTATTAAAAACACAAAAGTTGGCTGGGCGCGGTGGCTCACACCTGTAATCCCAACACTTTGGGCCGAGGCAGGCGGATCACCTGAGGTTGGGAGTTCGAGACCAGCCTGACCAACATGGAAAAACCCCGTCTCTACTAAAAATACAAAATTAGCCAAGCGTGGTGGCGCATACCTGTAATCCCAGCTACTCGGGAGGCTGAGGCAGGAGAATCGCTTGAACCTGGAAGGCGGAGGTTGCAGTGAGCTGAGATCACACCATTGGACTCCAGCCTGGGCAACAAGAGTAAAACTCCATCTCAAAAACATAAAAAATAAAAACACAAAAATTAGCTGGGTGTGGTGCCGCACACCTGTAGTCCCAGCTACTAGGGAGGCTGAGGCAGGAGAATCGCTTGAACCCAGGAGGCAGAGGTTGCAGTGAGTTGAGATTGCGCCAGTGCACTCCAGCCTGGAGACAGAGCGAGACTCCGTCAAAAAAAAAAAAAAGCTGAAAAAAGCCAGAGTAAGAGCACAGAGATCAAGGCAGTGTCAGGAGGAAAACTTTTCCTCTATCCTCTTACGTTTAGTATCAAGGAATCCGTGAATTAAACTGGCAAAAGACAGATCAACAGGAAGAAACATTTATTTGTATGCACACAGGAGCTTACAAAAGAAGTAACACAATAGATGATTTAAGTTAGAGGCTTAAATTCCTAACTTAGGAGGCAAAAGGGAAGGGAGAGAAGAGGTCTTTATTAGAAGACCAAATGAGTTTCTTTAGAAAAGACAAATGGGTTTCTGCAAGAACAAATGGAAGATAAGAAATGTTGTGATAATGCTTGTTCATGCAGATATGAGTGTTCTTTCAATTTTCTTCAGTGGCCATAAAAGTTCCCCCAGAGTGGGGATTTATGTAGGCTTATTCTTGATCTCCTTCCTGGGAGTAAAAGCTGCTCTGAAGAAGGAATCCATGACAGCCTCATTTCCCAAAAGTTTCTGCTTTTAGTCATATAAGGGAAGCTCTGAGAAGGCTTCTTTCTACATTGGTTGAGCCTCAAATGTCTTCAGCTTAAAATAATCTTCATATTAACTCCGAGGTTCTAAGTGGGTCTCCACAGGGGGCTGATGTAAGGTGATGCCAGAGAGCTACTGGCTAGATGACGTACAACACAGCTGTGTTAGTTTCCTGTTTTTCTTGAGAATAATGGGATGAATTAAAGCATTTTAAGCAGGAGTGCTGCAGGGTTCGATTTTTATTTGCTGAACTTGGGGTGTGTTGATGATAAACAGGCAGCTAGATGTGCCAGTTAGAACTCAGAAGAGAGCTCTGAACATCCTTGTGAGTCATCTATGTATAGATGGTCATTATGGACCAGTGAGTGGATGAGATTGCCTAAGGGAAAAATGTATAAGAAAATAATGTTCCTTTCCACCCATCTGTAGATTAAAAACAAACACACAACAACAACAAAAAATAAGGTAAGAAAAAGAGAAGGTTTGCCGGGCGCGGTGGCTCAAGCCTGTAATCCCAGCACTTTGGGAGGCCGAGACGGGTGGATCACGAGGTCAGGAGATCGAGACCATCCTGGCTAACACGGTGAAACCCCGTCTCTACTAAAAAATACAAAAAACTAGCCGGGCGAGTGGCGGGCGCCTGTAGTCCCAGCTATTTCGGAGGCTGAGGCAGGAGAATGGCGTGAACCCGGGAGGCGGAGCTTGCAGTGAGCTGAGATCCGGCCACTGTACTCCAGCCTGGGCGACAGAGCGAGACTCCGTCTCAAAAAAAAAAAAAAAAAAAAAAAGAAAGAGAAGGTTTAAAGGAAGGAATGCTAGCTTTCAGGAAACCAACCCATTTCTAGGTTTACAGAGCGGACCTGTAAGAAATTATAACTATATTATTTGTATTACTTTATTGCAACTCCAACCTTGGAATTGTCTTTTCTGACAAATTAAAAATCCTTGCCTTGGCTACTTTAAAGTAAGCAAAGAGACATAAAAATTCTTCAAAAATACAAAGTATTATAACACTGTTGCTCTTACCGTGCCATTGTTGGCTGAGGAGGGAAGGAAAGTAAAGGAGAGAAAAATATCATTTATGTAAGCTTACTCATGTAGCAGCCTCTGTACCAGCCAATCGGCATTATTAATCCACACTAGGTCATAATAAGGTAGGTGCTATATCTCCACTTTACAGATGGGAAACTAAAGTGAGGCTCAGATAGGTTAAGAAATTGCCTAAAGTCTCATAGCTGGAACATAACAGAACTGAGATTAACACTCACATTCATACATCTGACACTGTGGCCTATGCTTTTTCTTCAAAAGTTTTTTTTCTCCCCTACTGTGCAACCCCACTCTACTACACACACAAGGAAACGATTTTTCAGCTCAAACTGTGCAATACAATATCAAAGAAATATCGAATATCCTAAGTCATAAAGGTGTGGCCCGGGCCACTTTTTCAGACTCCTCCAGACTGATAGAGCTGTTGCTCTGACACTAGAGAAATTAAGAAGCTTGTCATCTTGGGTCCTTGCTGTTCCACTTCTGGGCATGCAGTTTGGCAAACAGTGTAATATTATTTGTTGACTTGTAGATGTCATCACAGATTTTTTACAGGAAGGACTGGTGGCTGTTTCACTTAAAGAGTTAGAAATTTATAAAATTCCTCTCTCTGGGCCATGCAGATCAAATCCAATTCCACCAAAGCTATTCCTGAGCTCAGTCAATCAAGGCTTCTACCTTTCAACCACTTTTCTTAAAATACAGGAATAATGTTCAATAGAAGAGTGAGGAAAAATTTTGGACGGCTGAGGTGTGTAGTTATTCAACAAATACATACTGGGAACCTTATCACAAATACATACTGGGAGCCTTAAATGCTGTGGAGGATACAAATATATCCAAGTCCAGTTTCTGCCCTCAAGGCCATACTACTAAGAATTGCAAGTGAGGAAGGTCAGAGAGGTTACAGTGACTAGGGTGTCACAGGAGAGGAGATGCTTGAGCTTTGAAGAAAAGGCAGGGTTCAGATGGGTGCATAGGAGAACACTCCAGGCAGAGGGAATCACGTGAACAAAGGCACAGAGGTCAGAACTAAGAAGGACAGGTGTAGGAATAGGGACAGGACCTGCCTGAGTGTGCATTGTTCCCCATGTTGGATATGTGGATTAGGGACACAGAATGCAGAGCATTGATTGCTGAGTCAACTTAACCCAGAGTTTCTCAACCTCACTGCTATTAACATTTTGAACCAGATCTTTTTTTTTTTTTTTTTTTGAGTCAGAGTCTTGCACTGTCGCTCAAGCTGGAGTGCAGGGGCATGATCTCAGCTGACTGCAACCTCTGTCTCCAGGTTCAAGCCGTTCTCCTGCCTCAACCTCCTGAGTACCTGGGATTACAGGCATCTGCCACCATGCCTGGCTAATTTTTGTATTTTTAGTAGAGACGGGATTTCACCATAACGGCCAGGTTGGTCTCGAACTCCCGACCTCAGGTGATCCACCTGCCTTGGCCTCCCATAGTGCTGGGATTGCAGGTGTGAGCCACCACACCCAGCCCATATCATTTATTTTGTATGTGGGGTGAGGGGAACAGGAAAACCGTCTGTGCATTGTAGGATAGTTAACAGCACACCCGATTTCTACTCACTAAATGCCAATAGTAGTTTCATCCCCAGTTGTGTGCTCTGCCCCCAAGTCGTGACAAAAAATTTCTTCAGGCCAGGTACAGTGGCTCAAGTCCGTAATCCCAACACTTTGGGAGGCCAAGGCGGGAGGATCACTTGAGCCCAGGAGTTTGAGACCAGCCTGGGCAAGAATGGGAGACCCTGTCTTTACAAAAAAAAATTAAAAATGTTGCTGGGCATCGTGGCACGTGCCTGTAGTCCCAGCTACTTGGAAAGCTGAGGTGGGAGGATGGCTTGAGCTGCGGGGGATCAAGTCTGCAGTGAGCTGTGATTGCGCCACTGCACTCTGGCCTAGGCGACAGAGCAAGACCCTGTGGAAAAAACAAAAAAGTCTTCAGACATTGCCAAATGACCCCTGGGGTGCAAAATTGCTCACTGGGTTGACAGTCATTGGGTTAAGACACTGTGATAATGTATGTGATCTGCATGTGATTTTTCTGAGTCACCAGGTCCTCTGCAAGCTGACTCAGTTCTTCCATACACCATCAGGGCTCCTACGCTTATGGCCCTAGGACAGTGACCTGCAGCCGAAGAGAAACAATCCTCCTGTTGGACTTCTGGGCCCAATTGCGAATGGTGTCCTTACTTACCACCCACTACTTTAACATGTCTGGAAAAATGCCACTAGGGGAGAAAGAACAGGTAAACACAGCAAGCTAAGGCTCCTAAGGATGGTCTGGTCTCTGAGTAGAGACAAAACACCGAGAACAAAGATACAAGCAAAAACGTGGAAAGCTCTGAAGCAATGTATTATTAACATCAGTAGAGCCCAATAGCACTGAAACAACACGTCGTGGCTGGGCATGGTGGCTCACGCCTGTAATCACAATGCTTTGGAAGGCTGAGGATCACAACGCTTGTGATCACAACGCTTTGGAAGGCTGAGGATCACAACGCTTGTAATCACAACGCTTTGGAAGGCTGAGGATCTCTTGAACCTAGGAGTTTGAGATCAGCCTAAGCAACACAGTGATACTCTGTCTCTACAAAATAATTTAAAAATCAGCTGGGCATGGTGGTGCATGCCTGCAGTCCCAGGGAGGCTGAGGCAAGAGGATCACTTAAGCTGTAGGGTTGAGACTGGAGGGAGCCATAATTGCACCACCACACTCTAGCTTGGGTGACAGAGTGAGACCCTGTCTCAAAACAAAAAAAAAAAAAAAAGGAAAGAAAAATAGGCCGGGCGCGGTGGCTCAAGCCTGTAATCCCAGCACTTTGGGAGGCCGAGATGGGCGGATCACAAGGTCAGGAGATCGAGACCATCCTGGCTAACATGGTGAAACCCCGTCTCTACTAAAAATACAAAAAACTAGCCGGCGAGGTGGCGGGCGCCTGTAGTCCCAGCTACTCGGGAGGCTGAGGCAGGAGAATGGCGTGAACCCGGGAAGCGGAGCTTGCAGTGAGCTGAGATCCGGCCACTGCACTCCAGCCTGGGCGACAGAGCGAGACTCCGTCTCAAAAAAAAAAAAAAAAAAAAAAAAAGAAAAAGAAAGCAACACATTGTGATTGTCCCAGAGCTGGGCAGTGAAATTCTGCCCAATTAGGCC